GAAACGATGATGGAAGCATGCCGATACCAGAACTGCAAGATGATGACGAATGGGAGATTGAAGAAGTGAAAGATCACCAACACTTCAACAGAAAATCCCACTTCCTAGTTAAATGGAAGGGCTGGCCATCAGAGTACAATCAGTGGATCCCAGAAGAAAATATGGCGAATGCAAAAGGAGCCATTACAAAATACAAGAAGCAAAGACAAAAGAGATGAGATGTTACTTGAAAAGAAATCCTACAAACCAAGCAGAAAGCCACCGAAACTCCACCGGAACAACACCGTTATCATCACCGCAAAATGGCGGCACGAGCACAGAACTCCACTCAAAACTCGGGAATGGGAACAGGGAAGTTCTTCTTCAACCACTTCAGGCGACGCTCGGCATCGGGATCATTGGTCGGATCGGAGACCGCCGGATCGGGACCGTACTCGTCTCGGGATGCCGACTGCAGGGCCTCCAGAAGCCCCTGCTTCGCCGCTGCCCAGCATACAAAACCATCATCTCCCGGAACCAAGCGGAGAAGACGCCGGGACTGGAACTTTCGGAGATGCTTCCCCGAGAGATCCTTGGGCGGAAGGATGTAAGTGGCCACATCCTGGCGACGAATGGCGATGTGCGCCATGTAAACCTTGCGTTGGGCCTGCCGGAACGTCAGCGAAATCACACCGGTACTGGCGATCCTACTTACCACAGTCGACTTGCGGGCGGCAGCAAGAGAGAACTGGCGGCGATGCGCCAACTCCATCGCATCGAAGGCCTTCACAAGCTCCATCGTGGCCTTTCCGGCCGCGACCAGCACGCCTTCCTCCCATTCATTCTCCTCCTCTTCATCCCCCTCCTCAGGAGTACCCTTGGCCAGGGGCTCCAGAAATTCCTCATTCAGCCAGCTGAGGATCACCTGCAGATCGTAGGCGTCCCCAACCATGCCCTCCACAACCTGAAGAACGTCAGTGTAAGCCAAAACAAAGGTGCCGCGGAACGTACCGTGTCACATGACGCGTTGCGGGCGGAACACTGCCGACAGGTAACCGAAGCCGCCGCATCCAGTTCACATTCGACGACGAAGGGCGACTTGGAGTCGTACGCCTTGACCTTGGTCCGAAAACACTTGGTGCACCACAGGAAGGCAGGCGAAATAGTGGTGGAACGCACCGGCCGGTGTGACAACCGACCCGAACGACGACGACGAGGCATGACGATGGTAACAGTCACGGAAAGGGAACGGGAAGCAGCAGAAGCAGCAAGAAACAGAGGATGAAGCGCGACGAACACAGCGTGGGAGAGAAAAGAAGAAGAAGAAAAGAGTTGCTACTCGAAAACATAAACAAAGACTCGAACATGTGATTCGACGCGTCTTTGTTTGCTGGTCAACCACATGATCTCTTTGTCGCCTCGACGGTGAGGCAAACGAAAACCCCACGAAAAGATACCGCGCCGACGCGCCTACATCATAGCAATAAAACAAACGCGTCAGTTGAGGCCACCTGACCTTAAGAAGGGGGATAATTGTAAAGGGTCTACCAAGATGGCAAGGCATGAAGTTATTCCCAACTGACGGAAGGGGTGAATCAGGTGACATCACATGATCCTAAAGGAAGTCGGAACTTGTTGCTTGATCCACCCTACAGAGGAATGATCACGATACATAACAGAGACCCAGTCGTTTACATCATCGATGATGCGTGGAGTTACGAAGATGCTGTATGATAAATTGACACTCCCGCATCCAGCTGGCAAGACAAGATTCAGTCTTGACAGTAATAAGGATATACTGTTTTCCCTTACTCCTTCCCCTTGTTTCTTTACCTGATCGACAGGCCTTATACCCTGACAAGTATATTCTTTACACCCCAAAAAATTTCAACCTAACCAGCTAATATTATTATTTTATATAAATTCAGAAAAAATATTTAAAATAATTCTTTTATATAAATAAGACTATAATATACTTATATATTAATAAAGAAATATTAGATATTAGATTTATATCTATTTTATTATTTCTAATATATATAGTTTATTTATATAAAAAGTAGAAGTACTACTATAGACTTTAAATATATATTTTTAGGTTTAGTATAAGAAATAGTTAATTAATATCTTCTTTCGCCTATATCTACCTATTATAAAATATAATTCTTACCTTAAAATATTAAATTAATAAATTAATATATTATATATTCTAAATATATTATTACTATATAATATTCTTTTTATAAAGAGTTAGAATTATAAGTTATATTAGAACAAAAATAGTATTTAACAATAGTATATTATTAAAAAAGGTAAGCAAATTATCTATCCTAATTAAGAAATTTATGCTAAAATAGGTCAAAAATAGGTTGACCCGTTAACCCACGGGTCAACCTATAGGCGGGTCAGGATTTTATTGACCCGACCCATAGGTCGTGGGTTTGGGTCATGGGTCAAGATCTTTGACCCATGGGACGGGTCTGTCCATGTCTAGGAGGTCTAGTTAGATAATACCTTCGTATTAATCGTAAGGCTCTTACTAGAGAATAACTTCGCTAAATCCAGAGCACGTAGCTTTAACTTTCTCTCGCCTAGGCAGGAGACTTAACCTAGGCTCACACTTTTCCCTGACTCGGATCCTCTAGTCCGATCAGTCTCTTATTTATTTTATCTACCTCCTCTGCTCCGGCGCCGGCGACGGTCGTGGTCCTAGTCGATCCCTTTATCCTTAGATAGTCGCGGGAAAGGTATCTAGATTCTTTATAGCTAAAATACTTCCCTTCTCTTAGGAGCACGGCCTTCTCCTTACTTATTAGTCTCGGGGTAATAGATACATTAATCGAGAGACCCTTTATATTCGTAGTACTCCGGTTTCTAGTTCGTCCTCGGCCGTTCCCCTAAATATTACTACGTTCGTTCACTACTTAAGAGATTAGACTAGAGACTCGTTAGTATTTTCTAATAAATTAGTCCAAGTTCACCCTATCATCATCCATATCCACCATAATCTAGTTCTTTAGAAGGTAAGGGAGCTTCTTATAAAGATCACGCTTACGGAGATCTATCGGCTGGTCTACTTCTTCAGCAAGACGGGTAAATTCAGCCAGGAAGTCGGTAAAATCCTACTTAGCCGCTATCTTCAGATCTATATACTCGTCATATACGAGGGCCTTACGATTTAGGTTATAAAAGACACTCTCGAGATGGTTAAATATATTATGTATAGAATAATATAGGGTCGAGGCGTCCTCCTACATATAAGGGTTAATATAGCGGAGTGCTTTCCCTTCGTAACGGCTCTTCGTATAAGCCATCTTATATATAGTCGTTAGGTAGTGATCCTCGTTAAATAATAGCTTCTGGCGTATATTAGTCTTCTATACCTTAAATTTCACTTTCTTACTATGGCTAAATATCGGAAGATCTAGTATTTCAATAGATTTCTTGCTATTAGTTATCGCAGAGGTAAGAGATTCACAGTTTAGGGTTGTTCCTATTAGGCGTATTGTAGTTAATACACTATCTTGTTCGCGAACTGCGGTATCTCGCTCCTCACGTACACACGTATACTCTTCTTCGACGGCGCGATCTCCGGGGGTATCGGTAATCGAGGTCTATTCTTTTAGTCGGGTAATCTCTTCTTTTAACTAGGTATTCTTCTTTTAACTAGGTATTCTTCTTTTAACTAGGTATTCTTCTTTTAACTAGGTATTCTTCTTAGTTAGCTCTGTAATAGTCTGGTTCGTGCTCGTAACTCTGTCGGTATCCGCGTCACGAATCTCGACGGGCTTAGCTTTAAGCTTATTGATTCGATCTTAACGTCTTATTATAATACGCTAAGCAATCTCGGGGTCGCTGCGGATCTATTCGATTAGTCTATCCGCGTCGGTTAGTTTAATAACATTAGTCACGCCTTCGTCGGGCTGAATAATTAGCGGAGAGCGGCGTCTGATTTCTCTATGCGTAAACGCGACGGTTCGTCCGGTCGACGATATTGTTATAGTCGTTCTTCGTGTTCTTCGTGTTCTTCGTGTTCGTTATATTTTGTTCGTTCTAAGGTAGTAGTTCTCCTTAACCACCACGACCTCGCAGTAGATTTCTTCGTAAAGCTATTTTACTTCGCGCGGGGGATAAGAAGCTATTAAGTAGACTAATCGCGCGCTGGGATATCACGCGTTCTTCGCTCGCCTGACGCTTAAGAATAAATAGGGGTATAAAGTAAGGTGAGGAACTAGGTAGCTTGATGCGTGTTAAAGTGGTATACGTCGTCGCTTAGCTAGTCCTCGAGAAAGAGAGGGTGAAAGGAGTCTCAGTATTATGTGACAAGAGCCTATTCTTCGGGAGAAGAGTGTATTCTGCAGCGAATACTAAGACTAGAGAGGAGAGAGAGAAGGAAGAAGTGCTGGAGGTGCGGTGCTCGCCCTCATACCCTTCTGTCTCCGCCAATCAGATCGCGCGAAACTAGCTGGTCTATCTACGTACAGCTTCCCAGCGTCACAAACATCTTAGATTTCTTCCCCGAGAAAATTCTCCTTAGCCAATCCATGGTCCCAAGCGTCAATATTCTCGAGTACAACCCGATCAGAGGACTAGAACAAGCGGACCCGGACTATAGGAAGAGCAATCATTGTTGGCCTGAAAACAAGCCAGAGTTCACTGATTCCCAAACTGCATTGATAATATAATATCAGCCTGGAGCTCTCCTTAGGCGGGCTTAAATTACGTACCAGGATTCACAGCGATGGATGAGGGAATCAAACAGGTTACACTCGCCGTTTCCCTTGGGCGGGCTTGAGTGAGGTATTTCGCTTTGCAGTGTTTCTGCGTACGTCACTAGTCGAAAATAATCCGTGGGTCATAGAGAACATTATATTTCCTATGGGCGGTATACCCCTGTCGAACAGAAGCCCACTGACTGTGAGTTTGCCATGATGCCATAGTGCATCCATCTAAGCGCTGGCACAGTCACCCCGCACGATCCACCAGAAGGCTTGCTGATCGCTTTGGTTCACACAACTATCTTAGGCTTCAGAATTTAGATCAACCTCTCGTCTCCAAATTTTGATAGGCATCTGACAAGGCCAAAGATTAAAGGCCTCCTCCCAATCCAGCTCCCACCTGTCGGATGGCAATGCAAAGTCATACCTATGCACCAGCGTTGCCACTAAGATTTGCTGCTCCATTATCGTGATATTTCTCCCGATGCAGGCTCGGCCTCCTGAGCTAAACGGGATGAAAGCAGCTCTCATTTCCTTGGAGGTGTCTGACGCATCGAGCCATCTCTCCGGCGAGTATCTTTCCGGCTCGGGGAAAAGGGTTGGGTCACGATGAGCAAGAAAGGTGGGGACTGAAACGGTGATACCCCCTGCTATGGGTTTACCGAGTATCTCCATGCCCTGTGGGGGAGTCTTGCGCTCCAGTCCCCGTGGAAGAGGAGGAGTGAGACGAAGCGACTCATCTAGACATGCGCGCAGGTATGGCAGGCTCTTGACTTTGCTAAAGGGGGCAATTGATTCTCCCGAAAGAGAATCTGATACTTCCTCTCGAAGTTTTGCGAGAGTCGCTGGATTCTTGATCAGATGGTACAGCACGTGCGTCAGGGCGATTGCGGTGGTGTCCGAACCAGCATCGACTGTGCAGGATCATTAGTATAACTCGAACCGCGTATCTGGAGAGACCTACGGAGAATATTGGTCTCGGCTTCTATCTCAGCACGATCCAAGTTGCGTTGATTTCCCGCTTTGTCTTCGATCAGACATGCAAAGAAGTCGTTTAATTTGGCACCCGCCCGATATTTTTCTATTCTTCTCTTGGCCAACTTCTCAACAATCTCGCCAAAGTCATTCCCATGAGCACGGAAATGGGCGTAGAAGAGGCGAGATGCAGCCTTCAAAATGGGAAACCAGTCGGTAGCACCCACAAAGCGAGAAACCGCTCGACTCCCACAGTGAAGGCTTTCGAGAAAATGGAAGTTTTTTAAATGGCGACCTTGACTGATCGTGAGTAAGTCAGAGCCCGATTCGAGCAGACCAAGGCGTTCACTCAAAGCGATATCGGCAATGGCATCTAGCGTGAAGAGATTGGACCAGAAGCGAAAGTTGATGGTGAGATCTTTCGCATCGACTGGATGTCCATCGAGAGGATCGGTGCATCTCCAATCAAACTGCGCCACGAGTTTCTTGACCTTGTCTGCGATTTTGAATTCCCAGTGCTCGAGACTTTTCGCGGCGAATGCATTCGAGAGCATCCGACGCTTGCGAGCATGGTCCTCTTTATCGACCACGTTGAGGATTTGAGGAGAGTCTCCCTGGATTGACCGGTAGACGTCATCCTTGAGACAAAGGGTGCCGTGTCCGTATATGTCTTGAATGGCTCCCACGTCGCCAAAGGAAAGGACGGTGGGACCAAGGCGGATGATGGGATGTTGCTGGTGGTCGTGATACAGCTTTCTCGTGCGAAAGTTGTTCCGTCGCTCCCATACGTAGGCGAGACTGGTGAGACCAGAGAGGAAGTTTTGATTGGGGTATTTTCGTAAATCTTTGGCGTCGTAGAAGTAGCGCAAGATCGGAGTCAGAATGACCCAGACGAAGGTAAATAGACCGAGAAGAAGGAGGATCATGACTGCCACGGATAATGGATTGAAAGTGACAACGGAATGATTGAGGACAATGGGAATGGTTCCAATAAATATTTATCTTGGAGATACCTTATATACCTCTCGAGCGCAGCCACTCTACACTTGTCTCATACATCCCCGCACCCGAACCCACGCGACTGGAAGGACACAGAAGATCGTAGGAGAACTATTCAACTGGACCTGCGTTGTCACTAAATTGTACACATGTTATGGAGACTGCGATTCGGATTCCATTTTTGGAAAGCTAAGAGCGTTCACATCCAACTCCCCCGCAATTCACCATGAGTACCGAGGACCGCGTCGCATTCCTTTTTCAGGCAGCGGACCGCTTGTCCCCTCATTCCCTTTGCGGCATTCGAAGCGCGATTCCACCATATGTCTGCATTACTATTCACGCCTACTTTCCACGACTTGCTTGATACAAGGGTATTCGATGGGACTTGAGAATGCCTGCGAAATATTCTCGCAAGACTAGTGGGCGCCGCAAAACAGGTCAGTTACCCCTGCTCCGTTCGGGACTCCACTTGAGGCTGATGCTATTTAGGCTGGTAAGGGTGACAGGATCTCGCCATTTCACAATTGTGCTGATCCAATAGTCCAAACTGCCGCCGTCGGCGAATCAAATGCGATGAGAAAGCCCCATGCAGCTACTGTGTCCGAAGAGGACTGGAATGCAACCCGCCGGAGTTTATTGTGCCAGAACGATGGACAAGATCTTCGCTTGCACGCGCAGAAGGTGCTGGATTACTAGACGCCTCGCAGGTGCCAGAATCAACGTATGATGTATTCCAACATGCCCATTTCGTCATTCAGTCCCCCGCACGGGGCGACCGAGACTCGCCTCACCCTTGCCCCGACATTTTGAATGAAGAGACAGCTGGCCTCCTCCGAATCTACCAACGAGGGATAGGGATCTGGATGGATATATTCGACCATACCAGGACCTATCAGAATGAGGTGGTCCGCTGTTCGCTCTCATCACCCCTCCTGATGCATGCAATCTGCGCCATGTCTGCGAAGCAGATGAGTCTGATCGAGAATAAATTCCTCTGGGAGCCAGTCGCATCAAGATTCTATGGAGGGAGTCTCAGTCTACTGATCAAAGAACTCGCCGACCCCGGAACCGACCGTGAGCTGCTACTGGCAGCTACTATCATACTGGGAAGCTACGAGCTCCTCGCGGAACCTGGAGTTGACTATCAAAAACATCTCTATGGCGCCCGCACTCTAATCCAGTCCTTCAAAATTGGAGCCAAGGAGTCTCGATTTGAGCAGGCCAGCTTCTGGATCTATGCACGACAAGATGTCGCTTTGGCACTGGTGAATGAGTGCCCAACACTTATCCTCCCGGATCAATGGCCACCACTACCCAAGCATGCCGATTCCAGCGAAGAAATATTTGGAAATACCGTTTTGCAGCTACTCGCAAAAGTCATTGGTCTCAAGTTCAGTCGAAAGGACGGCTTGTGGTCTGGCGAAAGACTTGAGGCCGTGCGGCAGCTTCTTTCGGAGATCGAGTCACTGTGGTCTCGTATTCCCCATCATATCCGTGGGATTCGCATGAGAAATGTCGTGGATGAGAGTGAAGGAATATCCCGGATCTGGTTCTGTGATCCCGCAGCAGGTAATTGAGCCATGTTTCTTGCTATATGGAAGGAGCCTAACGGATACAGGGGCTGCGTGTCTGTATCACCATATGGCAAAGATCCTGGCTTTCGAATGCTTGATAGAAGGGACCAGTAGTGCAGCCCCCTCATCAACACGGACTGACTACATAAGCTCGATTCGTCTGCATGCTCGTGAGATCAGCGCCATTTGTCTCTCGGCTGACCTTTCGGACGGGGCGATGGTGGTAGCGGTCAACCCTGCTTTCTACGGTATAGGCTTCAACACTCCAGGCCTCAAATCCAGGCCCCAAGAAAGAAAATACTAATGTTGAATAGCGGCAAAATATATACCCTCGTCGGCATTGAAGACACGGTTGTGGGGCATTTTGCATAATATCGAGACTCGTCTAGGGTTCTACACCCGAGATAGACAGACCCAACTCCAACGCGAGCTGAAAAAATAACACCAATATGCCATACAATATCAAGATCAATTCTTGGTGAGTCTTATATACCAAACGGCGTGTCATACCATAGTAACTTCTCAGCCTCCAACTCCTCCTCATAGCTAACATTGTGGAATACATCACGTGTGATGCTTTCCATTGGCCTAAAATGCTGTGTTCCATACATCATCTTGGTGAATTCCCAGTACTCTAGATAGAACCCGGCACATTCCCAATCGACAATAGCAGAGAGGCGACCGCGTTCAATGAGAATATTGCTCGGGTGTAGATCAGCATGGGCGAACACGGACCGATAGGAACGGGAGTGTACGGCCGCAATTTTAGCCTTTGTCTCCCTTTGCACGGCACAGTGGACAAGGAAAGAGTTGAAATCGGAAATCCGGTGGAACGGGCCACTCATCCCGGACGGAAAACGATGATCGATCAGTGGACCACCATGACTGTTGCCAAAAGGAAACGAGGTTCGGTTTGATAGGCATCGTATCTGTGATACCACATTTCTCAGATCTCTTGACAGCTGTTCGCGCTCAGCGTATGAGAGTCGGTGGAAGACCAAATCCAGTGGATCCCCGGGCATTGCCGTCATGATGAGAACGCGATTCTTGTCTTGGTAATCATCCACCCAAAGGGGGGCTGGAATGGAAGTGTGTCGTTCTACCAGTTGCAATGCTTCGGCCTCATTGCGAGAATCACGGCACTCTTTCGCATACATACCAAGCAGAAGCTGGTGTACGAGACCAGTGAAAGACCGCGGATAAAGCCGGCAGCCTAGTCCCCGAAGCACGCTGTAGCACTGAATGCGTATGGACCTTGGTATGAGACGCCAAAGAAAGCGTAAAGCCTTTTGTGTGTTTGAGTTCAAGCGAACTAGTTATTCGAAATGATCAAGTTGGCTTTCAATAATCCATGTGCGGGGGTAGCGTCCCATACACAATATAGGCGAAGGCCATCCTTCCGCAATCCGTTCCTCCACATAGAAGAGATGCAACGAAGGTGCAATACGGTAGTGTGTCCGGAGTAGGAGCAGGTCAGGAAGAGGAAGGTCGGGCACTCGGGTCTTCATTATAAACAGCTGTATATACTGGTCCCATGGGCTACCATCGCTTAGAAACAGCCCATCACAAGGCTCAGGCGTCAGTCTTTTGACGAAGTACTGGTATTGTGTTAGTCAGGGATAGTTGCAGGATAGGCCACAAACTTGAGACACTGACATCTATTTCGCTCGCTGTTTTGATTCTGTTCTCTGTCTCATCATTCCACTTGTCGGGGGTTTCAGTCATGGGACATAGTTGAAGATGTCTCTGGCGAAAAGCCAAATGGATGCTAGGAGAGAGCAAGAAAAGGTTTCTTAGTTGATCCGTCGATGCGTCGGCCTGTAAAACAGACCGGATCTCGTATATTTTGGCAGCGGTCAAAAGGCTTCTAGAAGAGCATAAAGAGGGCCCTAGAAGCGGGTAAAAGGTCACTAAATACGATTCATCAAAGCTGGGCACAAACCTACCTGCGGATCCATGTCACTGTCATCGAAGAGACTTGGGGGGATAACCCATGTATGATCACAATAAACGGATACATTGGAATCTGACGGTTTTCGTCTTAATATAGAGCAGTGCGAGTCATCGCGAGCTTCGAGAAGGGTGCGTGAATGCGACAAGACCTGATCTCTCCTGGTGACTAATCGGGCGGTTAGTAGAGATAACATAATCGGTAAGCGAGTGGGACATATAAGCAAGTGGGACACCACGCGAAAATCGCGCTGTCTTCGCGAACCCTCCAATTTCAACTAGCTACTATGCCACCAAATCGCTCTCAAAAAGCCAGAAAATCGATTAAATAGGAGGGTAGGGTCTTGCTAGCTATCGAAGCTATTTAGAAGCAAGAAATATCTTCAATTCGCGAAGTAGCAAGCCGATTCGATATACTATATTTAACCCTATATCGCCGCCTCGTAGGTTAACCAAATCGAGCTACTACACGCGTCTACTGCTAGAAATTGACCTAAATTAAAGAGGAATCGATTCTCCGATAGATTCTTTCTATAGATTTACGCGGAGTAGCTCTTCGGCTAGTAGCTATATAAGAAATAGCTAATATTCTATTGGCTAAGCGTGGATCTACCTCTATTTAGTCTATTAGCGAAAAATAGGTCTATAATTTTATTAATCGATATAATAAAATTAAGACTCGTTTCTCTCGTCGATATAATTATCGGCGCGTTAAAAATAAAGACCTAAAAATCATTTATAAGTAGTTTAACTACGTTCGAAAGATAATCGATAAGAATAGTATACTATACGATGATATATATAACTTCGATAAGACTAGTTTCGTAATAGGCCTTACCTTAATAGCTAAAGTAATTACTCGGTCTAAATACTATAGTCGGCGATTATTATTATAATCTAGGAATCGCGAATAGGTCATAGTAATTAAGTCGATAAATATATCTAGATAGGCGCTACTACTATATATTATCTTTAAAGGTAAGGTCTATATTAAAGGCTGGTTCGACGATTTACCTTCCGATTAATATTTCGACGTAAGCTAAAATAGCTAGATAACTAATAAAATTAGCCTTCGCTAGCTTAAAAAAGTCTTTATACTAGCTACTACTAATTATACGAAGGGTAAATATCGGCTTCTGTGTTACGCACTGGTCACCTATGACTGTTAGCTGGAACGGAAGGTATACTTCTCTCAAGATACCAAGACACGCGGGTCTTTCTAGTTATATTAGAAGGCTAGGGGTCTTCTAATATCAACGATATCCGGCCTCGTAACCGTACTATTGCCTTATCCGTTAGGCCTTATATAGGTCGGGTCTATTAAAGTATCGAGGAACGATTAAAGTAAGGAGTGCTTAGTAGTAGAAGTACCGAAGGTATTTTACTACTAAAGGGGTTATCTTAAGAGGATTATAGTAGAAACGAGATAATCTAAGTGGAACTTATAACTAAGGTTAATAATATAAGTTGAACGCGAAGAGCTAGATATATAATAAATAAGTATTCTTATATATCCTTTACTTAGTATTCTATGCCCTCGCTTGTAGTATACTATATATAGGCGTATAGTAGTCCTATCGATATACTATCCGATATATCATTCCTTAGCAAGAGATCGTGGTATATTATCACGTGACCTATACCACTATCGCCTTATATCATTACCGTGGGGTTGATTAGCTCTGGTTTCCTTTTATACTCCTATTGGCGCGAGTGAGGTGGCTTGGTTCGTAACATTCTGATTCTTAATAGCTATAGTAGCTATTTAATACCTTAATTCGATAAAGTATATAGCGATACGAATATTATACTAATTTATATACTAGCGTATTTATCGTATATTCTATAGCCTCTTAATATTAGCTATTTTATATCTTTAAAAAAGATATATAGTAGCTTAATTAAAAGGTAAATACGATATAGTATTAATTATATCGATAAATTCGATTTTCTCGTTATTTACTTAATTACTCGCTTATAAGCCTTTAATAATACTATAACTATTCAAAATAGCTTCGTAGCTACTAGATTAGTCCTTTATAATCTAAATCGGGTTATCGAAAAGCTTAATATTCAGCTTTATACGCCTATATCTCCTAGGAGCAGTTAGAGCAGCTAAAGTAGTTAATTCTCGCTAAAAACGCCCCAAAATCTAAAATAGCTATATCGATAGGCTTTATCAATCAAAGCTCTATTAAAATATCGCTCCTATAGCCCACTAAATCTAATTAACGCGGTGCTAGATCAGTTTATCAAAGGCTGCTAACTAGCGATATATAGCGCAACGATCCTTATATATGAAAATAAGGATTTACGCATAGCGAATAAGAAGCAGAAGCAAAAGCGAGCTAGATCTAATCGACAGATACCTCGAGATCAAGGCCTATTAGTCCAAGAGGAGCTAATATCGACGGCGCACTAAGCCTCTGAAGCCCAATCAGCAGCTTCGGCAGACCTTCATCAAGCAGCTTCGCAGCCAATTCAGCGAGCGCCGCCGCGCTGCAGCGACTGCCACGAATTAGGATATCGAAGATTACAGTGTCCAAAACGATGTAATTAGATTTTTTTTTGTATATAAAGGCGTTGTGGCGAATATAAATCGATTTGAATTCTATATACTTGGTAGGGTGTCCCACTCGCTTACCGATTACGTTAAAGAATACGGAGGCACATGCAGGTTTGACGAACATTTCGTGACAACTTGCTTCCAGTCACGTTTCAATACTTGTAAGACCTCCTCCAAAGAATAGCCGGAACGGTCATGGATCCTTTCCCAGATATAGCTAGCCGCGTATTCTGGATTGACGGCTTCATCGATGAATGATTTCCAGATCAGGTGTTCAGTGGGAGTGAGCTGGGCGGATTCGATGAGCTGAATAGTTGTCTTATATCTCCCGACTGGATGCACCATTTTCTCGAATGTATTGGTCATACATTGAAGGAATACATATGAGAAACGAGCTACTATAGTATTACCGTCCAGTTCGTTGGTACCTGAGAAACAAGACACGGTCAGGGCCTAGATGGTATGACTGTGGGTAGCGTGAGCAAGACCTTCTATTGTGAGTTCATTTGCGTTGATTACCTAGGTAGGAAATACGGGTATAGGGTAGAGAAGAAATCAGTCATATAATTTACTCCTCTTGATTCCATACCTAACCAGATAGTCAACCCCCCTGGTCAAATGTGGTCTACCCTTCCAGGTTTCGATCGACTGTCAATAAGGATCGAGGGGTGCAGAGACAGTTCTCAGTACAGAGGAAAGTTTCCAGTTCCATCTCTTTCCTGCCCGAGTGACCTTTGTCGCTCTATTCGGGCCTTGATCTCGTCATATGCCATTGACAGCATTGATCCTATGTAAGAGAACAACTGGGCCCAGAGAATTATGTCTCCATCGCGGGTAAGTTCCGATACGAGCTACGCCATTTGCCTGTCAAGTGCGCTATTTAGTAGCATCGGATATTTCCTCCCAAACCTTGGAAATAGTCCATAAGTGAGTAATTTCTGGTGTGATTCCAAGTGTCATTATTTTGGTCATTCCTCACGAGGCAATAAAGGCATAAAATGGATATACGTTGGAGCAAGCATCGTATCCCCAGCCACCTCCAGGAAACTCCGCCCAGTCTGCACCGCGAACTGTTCTCAAATCGCAAGAAATCGTCTTGATTTGGCTTAAATACTGCATCAGAACAATTACTTGGCCATTTCATAGTCGCTGCATATATCCAAGAATGGTGTTGCTTTCCACGGTCCACGCTTCCAACAACCGCATCGCCTCGACACTCCCCAAGGGCCTGGTGGCCGTCTTCGTGGGCGCAACATCCGGGATCGGCGAGTACACCTTGAAGCATTTCGTGCAAAAGGCATCCAGCCCCCGTGTTTATCTCGTCGGGCGGTCGCAAGAAGCCGGGAACCGCATCGTCGCTGAGTGCCAAGCGTTAAATCCCGAGGGAAGCATCAGCTTTGCCCAGGCGGATGTGGGTTTGCTTCGTGGCGTCGACGAGGTCTGTCGGGTTATCAAGAAGAGGGAATCAACATTGAATATCCTCTTCATGACGCAGGGTTCGTTGACTGCTAAGTTCGGTGCGTTCCCTGAATTTAGTCTCGTCTTCTAGTTCGTTGGGCATTAATGAATTTCCAGCCACCGACGAGGATCTGCGGTTGAGTACATCCCTGCATTACTATTCCCGCATGCGATTCATCGTCAACCTTCTCCCGCTCCTCGAGAATGCCCCAGGACTCCGTCGTGTGGTGGGGGTATTTGCTGGCGGCATGGAAGGCGAGATCCACAGTGATGATCTCCAAGCCTGGAAGTTAAAGGGTGTAGCTCGTCGCAGTCACATCAGTGCCATGCTCACGCTGGGTTTGGAAAGGATGGCCTGCCAAGCTCCCTCCGTGAGCTTCATCCATGAGTTCCCGGGGCTGGTGCACACGGCCGCAGTAGACCACTGGCCTGGGGTAGTGGGCGTGATTGTTCGGCTGGTTGTTTTTCTTTTTGGCCGGTTCTTGTGCGTCTCTCGCGAAGAGTGCGCGGCGCGTCACGTCTTCTTGGCAACCAGTGCCTTGTATCCGCCCGGTTCTGGATCGGCTGACGTTGCAGGGGTTCCCCCGTGGAGGGAGAGTTGACGCCCATTGCTGGTACAGCAGGTGCATCGGGTGGTGGTGTGTACTCACTGGGCTGGAATGGAGAGAACGGAGGGCCCAAGTCGGAGAAAGCATTGATGGATTTGCGAGTTGCTGGAATGGATAAGAAACTAAAGGCACATACAGAGGCAGAGTTCCAGCGTGTGACGGGGAGGCCTTTGATTTGAATAACCTTGGAAGGGATTTAGGGGAAGGAGAGATGAGTACTCGCTGGTCAAAGAATTGACTTGTGTTTTTCCTCTTTTAGCTCCATGGGAAGTTAGTGAAAGAGTCCGAACTATATTCACCGACAGATTTCTACTCAAAAGCTCTTTCGCTCTATTATGGAAATAACATATCATTTAGAGCACCGTAGAAGTTCCAATTTGCAAGGGACTTGACCTACAGTTATACCTTTGCGGCTAACCGGAAGTCATGCGCGTTTCAACCCCAATGATTCGGTTGATTCCCCTGTCGCGGTCGGTTCGCGCCGAGCAGAACCGGAAAGTTCTCATTCAAATCATGCTAATAACCACAATTTGGCAGAAGCATAATTAAATTTGCTCTGAAAATGTAATTGGTATATTCGGTTATACTCTCTGAGACCTTTCAGTGAAAGGAGTGGTATAAGAAGAGGCCAGCGAGACATCCGATCTGCCCTTCTTTCTAGCATGCGTGACAGATGTTCAGAAATGGATTGGAGAAATATTCAAGCCGAGAGATACATAGGTTAAACTATGGCCATAAATCAAGTTTGACACATGGGAGGGCAGTCCCTTGATCTGACATAAATAACCAGAAACATGGAGCGTAGCTTCCAGAGGTGATCAGACGTCGTCAATCTTTATTCCCGGATGAGGGTCAGCATCCGAATGAGATACATGTCCATAGGTGACAACTCTGGTCTCTGAAAAGTCATAAAGTGGAGATAATTTGGCGTCTTTGCGCCAAAGTATCCATCGCTCACAGAAGTAAGGGAATGCCACCTTCACTTGATACTTCATGAATTTTGCAATGGGTACCGCAAAAACGTAGTCAAGCTCCTCCAACGTCAGTTCTTTTGTTTCTGGGACCCAGAAAAAGATCATGAAGAAAGCGACAATGTTCAGGCCACAGTAAAAGCCAAAAGCACCAGTGGGAGTAAATGCAATACGCATCCACGGGAAAGTGAGTGATAAGATAGTAGAGCCGAGTGCGTTGACGAAAACCGCCTAGGCCATACCAATTTCTCGATGAGAAAGTGGGAAAACTTCTGCAGCGTATGGATAGCACACAGGACCCTCACCTGGAGTATATATGGCCGCGAAAAGGAAAATGAAAAGAGCGAGTGGCGCTAGTCGACCGGAACTACCCGTATCCCCTGGGATCCAGAAGCAGAAGCCCGCTGCTAATAACGTCTATGCCATATGTGGAAATGTGGAGAGCAGAAGCGAGCGCCGTCCAAAGGTATCAATTGTCTTTATTGCCGGGAAAGTAAAAAGGAACATAGTCAGCCCGAAGCCCCAAGAGGCCCAGAGAGCATTTTTCTCGGATACGCCAGCCTCCTATAATTCACGATCAGTATCTGTCAACGCAAGGTTTGGATTGCAGAGAAGTATAGAAAAGCGCTTGTTTGCTCTCTACTTACTGTGAAAACACTGGAAGAATAGAATGAGATGATATTGATTCCTGGATTGTGTTAATATTTGGAAATAGAAAACTTTCGAAACTCACTTACCACATATCTATTAGGTGAGTATAACGGTGGAGGCAGCTAGATTGGCACGGCGAATCCTTGGAACAGCAAAAAGCTGCCTAAAGCGGCTTAATGGATTTTCGCCTTTGGCAATTATGCTTTTTTCTTGTACGAATTGTACGTGTGTGGCATAAAGATCTCTTGCAGCTTGCAATTCAGTAAATCTCAGTTTGCATAGTGACCTAAAAGCTTCTTCGTAACGGCCTTTCTTGATGAGCCAGCGGGGACCTAGATATTGGTTATAATAATGTTTCAGGTGCTGATTTTGGGATGTCAATTACTTTCTAGGCAGAAAAAGACTGAGCATAGCAGGGGTATGGCCGGAATGAATGCAGAGCCAAGCTGGAGTCGCTAGGCTATGGAGCCTATCATGCATGTGAGGTCAGTTCTGCCCTTGCGAAAACCAACATATTCACTACTGCACGACGTTTCCAAGAAGGAAGAAAAGGGAAGAATCTTTATTATACCAGTGTTTACCACAGCAAGGTTAGCCGAAAATCCCAGAAATATACCGAACGTAACGTAAAGCTGCCAGGTCATGGATAGAGCGCCTCGGATCTATACAGGAGCGTTCTCGGCGGTATATACCGAGGTCGTCGAAGCCTTGATACCCATTCCAATACTAAGTAGGAGGCGACAGACAAATAATTGAGGCCAGTTTTGGGTGAACGCGGACCCTAGGCATAAGAAAAATGAGAAACACCCAGCAACAAATATTGCACCTCTACGTCCAACGAGGTTGTTGACAGGGTCAGACAGAAAGCAGCCACTAGAAAATCAGTTTCCAAAATCGTATATCGCATGGATAATGCACTGATATGAAGGCTTGAGCAATTGTAGGAGCGGCATTTATCAGCCCAACAATCCATTGATCATAAGCGCTTTGTGATCTAATACCAAAGGTAGTGGGGAACGAAAGGTTTGCTCCGTTGGCTCTAGTCTAGCAGCCTGTTAGTACATGTATATTTCTGTGTAAGCGATGAACTAGGGCTCGTACTTGATCCCAGCCTTGCACAGCAGCACCAATAGAGCAGACTGCTATAGTGAACCAGAGGGCCTTCGGCTGATGCCATTTATGAGCATCCTCCCTGCGCAGGGCAGCCCGATCATTCTCATGCAGTTCAGATATATTTTCATAATCGATCGGAGATTGTGCCACCAAAACACCTTTGATGAACACATCGACCTCGTTCGATAGCCTATGCTCAGTAGCGAATGCCCTGACTTGAGCCATTAAGGTTTCTTTCGGTATTCCTTTAAGAGGATTCTCAATTCTGGCCAGCTGTGAGTATTGAACAAACCTGAGGTGAAGTATCAGCGACACTTGGTATATACTTGGCATTCTGATTGTGAGAGAAATTGGGTCGAGTAGCATGTTCGATGAATTGATCATCCCTAAATGCTGATTACGGTCTTTCTAGATTTCCCATGGCTGGTAGGTATAGTGTTGAGCGTAAGTTGCATCACAAAACTTTTGAGATGATAATGCGCTTCTCAGCGTGATACCGGAATATAAATGCCAGGAATTGCCACTGCCCAGTCTTTTATTATGAAATGGGGACTATAACCAATGGGCAAAGGATTACCTAGAGACCCTATGGGGAAGTGGACCCTGGCTACGTCGGGTAAATATAAAGGTATTTTTTGATGACAGAGAAAGCGTGGGGAAATTCTGTGGAACTCTGCTCTTCGGAACCAAGATATATTGGTAGGAAGAGAGCCAAGAATAGTCCAAATTTCAAGTTGAGCTGCTAGAAGCGGATGAGAGAACCAATTCAATAGACTGAAGTTGTTGACCTTGGAACAGGTCCTTGGGTGGTCGCATACTCAGACGATAAACGGTTATAAACGGTTAGGAATATTTTCGAGATGGTCTTGGGGTAAAACCTATTCGAGAAATAACCGAGTAAGGCTTCATTCGTCGGATATCTCTATGGATAAAGCCGGAATGGAAGCTCAGATCTACAAGGCTGTGAAACGATACCTCGAGCGGCAAATGAAAAGTAGGCCTCTTTTGCGCCCCGGTGTAGTCGCCCGAGCGTGGGGACATGGCCCGAGACCCACTATTACGGGCCATCTCCCACAACAAATGCCCCACTGTTCTATATAGGCGAAGTGATACCTCGTGATTGATATTGAGCTCAGAATGATCAGGCCAAGACCGGACCACCCCGCCGTGAATCGTGACTGAACAGTGTGGCTTCACTTTTTCCCCGCTTGCTCTAAAGCTGAAACCCCACATTTAGAATCTTCCTCTCTCCTGTCTCCGCACGCTGTTCCTGGTTCACCAGTTTGATATGGCAGTATCCATGAAACATGGCCCGACATAGCCCGACCAGCCTACAACACAGTAAGCAGATAAACCATTTAAGTCTTCTTCCACTTCCACCGGGGCATAGGGCATTTTATACATCTATCCTCCACTTGCCTGTCCACACAGATTATCATTTTCTCAATCGTGATGACCGTCCCACGCCCCAAGGTCAATGGATCTACAGCATTGCCCTTTATTCAGCTGAGCGACGGCTCGGTATCGTCCAAAACAGCTCCGCCGACACCTACCAACAAGGCCTCTCCTTCAGAACGCGCACGCCTTTGCTTCGCTGTGAAAGGCCACGTAGTTGTCACCGGTGGTGCGGGTGATATCGGCTCCGTCGCGTGTCGGGCATTGCTGGAACACGGCTTGGAGGGCCTAGCTATTTTCGATATATATCCTCTTGAGGGCGACAAACTTGTCCAATCTCTTCAGGCCGAGTTTCCCAAGGCCACTATTACCTTCACCTAGGTAAATGTGACCGACGAGGCTGCGGTGAACGAAGCAGTTGCTCAAGCCGAAGCTCTGTTCGGCACTATCGATATCGGTCTATGCTTTGCAGGAATCACGCAGGCTATTCATGCGCTCGATATAAGTGCAAAGGACTGGAGAAAGATGTTTGAGGTCAATACGGCTGGTGCTTTCCTCGTTGCGTAGGCCGTAGCTAAGTCTATGGCAAAAAAAGGCAACGGAGGTAGTATCATTCTTATAGCGAGCATCTCTGCTTTTACTGCGAACTTTCCTCAACCTCAAGTCTATTACAATGCCTCTAAAGCTGCTCTTATATCCGCTAAGGGGTCATTGGCAGCGGAGTGGGCTAGATATGGCATCCGAGTCAACAGCATCAGCCCAGGCTACATGGACACAATTCTGAACGAGGGGAACAGCCTTGAAGAGTATCGGCGTACCTGGGTCACCAGGCTGCCCTACGGGCGTATGGGCCAGCCAGAGGAGCTAACGGGGGCCGTTATTCTGCTTTGCAGCTCCGCAGGAAATTACATTACCGGCGCTGATATCCTTGTGGACGGTGGGATCACTATATTTTGATTTTTGCCAGCTGTAATATACAGTTTGCCATCGTGATTTACCATCATTGTCAAGGTCAAAGCAATATAGGCTTCCTGCTAGTGGAATTTGAGGTCGAGTTTAAAGGCTTCATCTTGCGTGGTGTTGTACTCAAGTAACCCGATAAAATCTCAGTTGGACTTTGGGACGGTATAAAACGCATATGTAGATTCCAACGTTTGGTGGAATTCTGATCTTCTTGCGTCTGGCTGCGGATACGGAGATCCAGCGAGGAAAGACTAACTAGTTGCTAGAAGGCAATATCTGCCGATATTCTATTTCACCGGGTGGGACTCGTACGGCAACGCGGAAGACTTAGAGCATCTTTTACTTCCTCAGCCTGAAAATATACTGGCTCCAATAATTTTTATGTTCCGTACTTCGTTAGGCAATGAAGAATTCCCTCAATCAATGTAGCGTCATCACCATATTAAGAATCCGGGTCGTTTTGGTATTTTGATGATCTGGAATATACGTTACCTGTCATCCAAGGCAATAGAGCCTAGATGATCTGGGTAATAGAATCAGTTTGCCGAAAATTTGCCGCAGCGCCTTTTCGCGTTTAATTCGTAAGTGGGTCTGCAGCCATGTCGGGCCATGTCGCGGCGAACGGGCCATGTTGGGGACGAGGCCATCATTGATTTGGCCGAAATCGACTAGGTTTCATTATTGTGACCAGCTGACTGTATGTATAATAGAGACCTTGGATGAGCGCCCGGGCTTATTGAATGAAACTCAGTGGATCTATACCAGCTCGGAAATACCTTCGTGTGGTATACATCCACCCTGCCCAGAAATTTCACATTGTGGGTCGACCACTGTACAGTGCGTGCGTGCGGAGTAAAGCCTCCCTCCCTGCGAAAGTTGATACTGCAAATTCTAATTATGTAAAGGATTCTCTGAAACTAGTCGGTAGCAAGGAATCCAAGGTATATAAAGCCTGTTTGAAGATGCCCAATCCTAGAGCCACCAAAAGAAAATCGCCTCGTTCTTTACGACCATCAAGGAAACAACGACGAAAATGGGAGAACAACAACCTTCAACGTGGCTTGAAAGGCTCCAAGGGCAACGTATGGCTTGACAGACCGAGAGAATGGCCCTATTCTAACCTAGGAACAATGTATAGTGAAGATCGACATTGATTGCATGGACCCTGTCGAGGCTAAAAGATGGCTTCCCTTTCAACCTGAGGATCAGACGAGCAACCAGCGACTGGTTTATGAGCAAATGATCTCCCCAGATAATCGGGAGCTGTTCCTTCAAACAGCACGAGAGTACAAAGCCAAAGGCTGGGAGGCAATTCTCACGAGAATGGTACGTACTACTGCAGGTACATCCACGTCTTACTCCTAATCTTTGTTGATCTTGATAGAGCGCGCTCCTTTGTGCAAAGAACATTGACAACATTAAAGGACGCGTTCTACTACAGTCCAGCGCTTTCGGCGCGTACGACACTAATAAAGTGGTTGAACATGCCCGTGCCTACGCTCGAGAGTTTGAGAAAGTGGGAATCTTCAAAGACCGCTTTTGTATCAAGATCCCTTGTACGGGACCTGCTCTCAATGCGAGTCCTATTCTGTTGAAGGAGGGCATTCGTACCCTTGGGACAATCCTCTATTCCCTCCCCCAGGCTATTGCGGCTAGTCAGGCTGGATGTCTTTCGATTAGCCCTTATATCAACTGTGAGTCTCTAGCGCTCGGTGTGGCTAATGATTGCTGACGAGATTTATTAGTCCCCTGGTTCCATATGGACCGAAGCCAATGGCCCGATGTTGAGGATCCGGCCTTGCAGCACCCCATGGCACCGAGAATCATGCATATCCAAGAAACATACGCGCGTCTCTATAAAGAGACGGGTCAACCCCAGCCATTGATGAAGCCTGCAAGGTAAGCAAATACTCATCCAGAGCCGTGAATTTTTTTTTTTCTAAAAATACTCTAGCTTCATCTCTGCTAGAGAGGCAATGGCAATGGGCGAGCTGGGCTGTCACCACGCAACAATCTCGGAGGATATTATCCAGCAGCTTTCCATTCTCAGTGCTGAGGCCAATCCCCCGCCAGGGGCCAACGTCTTCACGGAAACAGGCATTCCTTCGTCACGCATCATTCATCTTGCCAAGACAGACCCTCTTTCTGGCGCGGACTGGGACGGAAAGCTTGCCTCGACAGATATCGATTACCTTGCGGAAAACGGAAAGGAATTGGAGAATGCGATCCAACAAGATCTTGTGACGGCTAGGGGTGTGAAGGAAGCTCTCGAGGCTTTCGAAGCAAATGAGCTCCAGAGCAAGTCCGCTATTCAGGAAGTATTGAAGCAGCTCTGAACGATGTCCTGAATGTCTCCTCTTTTGTCAAAACTGTGCGAAAGTCATATGACCGTTGGGCTACTGAATATGGTCTCCGAGTCCTTAATTCCTCACTTTCTCTACATAGCTTCAGTATATTCAATCTAACTATCTTCGATCGATCCGTTTTAGTTCCATGTAATATGGGAGACTGTCTCGAGTAAATTCGGCAAACCCCATTTGGTTCGGAGTTCTGACCCAAAATTCAGCCCAATAACCCACATTTCTCGGCTTTTCAATTTGATTGGCGAGGTGGATATAGTGGTTGAAGCTTCAGGTGCCGAAGACTCAATTTCGCTTGGCATATACCATACAAAAGTAGGCGGCATATATGTGCAAGTTGGTATCGGGGAACGCAAGCCTCATTACCCTCTTCATTGCTTGTCCGAGAAAGAGGTCCACATACACAGTTGCTTCCGATACGGATTCGGAGATTTTGATCTGCCTATAAAGCTTGTTGAGCAGGGTTTGATCAAGCTCAAACCATTGCTCAGCAGTATCACACCATTCGAGAAAGCGATTGAAGTCTGTGAGAAGATAGGGCGCGGAGAAGGGATAAATAATCTAATTCAGGGGGTAGAAGGCTCGTCAGAGTCCGGAGATTGTGTCGAATGATTGAATAAGAGTCAAGTTTGTGGCCAATAGCTTCGTTGAAAAAGTCCCACGTTAAAATGTACGTTTTAGCAATAATTCCAAGAAAGTTGCTGAAATCAAGACACAAGCGAGGAATTTCAAGTACATTCTTTAATTTGAGGAAATAGTACTGCAAGTCTATCAAATATCATGGCATAATTCGAAATACAACTGGATAGTAGTCGAAAGAATTTTACTGCGCAATTCCGACATTGTGTGTAACAGAAAAGGGTCAACGATGAGAGTAATTGCCTAGCTCTGATCCCCACCCTCCCTCCAAAGCCTGTTCCCAACGTCTCAACGACTCATGGATATCCCATGAAAGGTACTGCAAGTCGTAGAATTCGGCTGGTAAAGAGTGTGGACCACTTTGGCCAGACCAGCATTCGCCCACGGCAGCTTCCAAGACCGATTTAAGCTGACTGGCCAAAGGCCATCGAGTTCCCGCTATAGTTAAAGCGTAAACGAGGAGGTAAAGTTTTTCCGGCACCATCAGGGTTGAGGCACGAGAATATATGATATAAAATCGGGCTGCAATAAAGATGCAGAATATTATATGCGGATTGATCGATTTCAGCATCTTATCGTCAGTCCCGCGTATTATCGAAACGATTTCATCACAGCTTCCAAGACAACGCTCAGCAGCGAAAGGCCAAACAGCATCTCCATCAGGTGGTCCGCTGACTGGAAAAATATGCCGTTGGTATAACGAGATAAGCGCGCTGTGAATCGTGCAAAGTATGAGGATAGTGTTGGGGTGTTGACCCTGGCTTTGACTATCGTTCAGGAACAAGTCAACGTAAGGAGGCGAATTGACTGCTAGAACTCCTTCGAATTCGGTTTTCCAACATATCAATCGCTGATATATCCTCTCGCAGTCTTCTCTTCTTCGATGAAAGTCTCCAGAGGTTTTGAAGTCATAGGACTCCTGTAGAAACTTATGAACTTGCCATAACCTGTCAGTCACCAGGCTGACAAAAAGCGAAAAAGAAGATGGAGTATCTGATGTGCCAAAGAGAAAAGTGGCTAGAACAGATTCGGGGTATTTCCATATCTCCTCATCGCAAGGTGCGATCGCCCCTGGCTCAGGACGATAAATAGATAGATTCCATGCCGCTCCTAGTGTAGATATCGAGTTTAGTGATTCTGTCATCCAGAAAGCGCGGATCTTTTCTTCACGCTCTACAGCCGTCAAAGGCAGAAAGAGCATGCGTGGTGGGATAGTGGAAGCAACACCGAAGTTCCTGCAGTGATAATCGACTAAGTCACGCAATCCTAGTTGCATACTGATTCTGCTCAAGTTAGTAACGAGTAGAAGGACTAGAGGTCTATAAAGCCGTTTATTACCTTTGGCAAACCCCCACAATGTTGTAAAATCGCGCCATGTTGCCGGAGCCGAATACTGAAATTGACAAGAGAAGAAGGGCTTGGAGAGACGGAAGGCACAAGTGATGCATAGCATATAGAATAATTTCGTCTTCGAGTTGCGAAAGCCAGTCTTTCCATTTACTGGATTGAGGTTGGAGTATCGCTTGCTGTGTCGGAAGGATAACAACGCAAATGGCATTTAGTACGACGGGAACTGATGTCGAGGAACCGTTCATGTACTGTTGGCACGTCTCTGAAATGGACGGCTTATGCAGAATAGGAAACCAAGAGTGATGCTCCTCAAACCATATGGAACAGTAGCTCATAACACGACTATGCAGTAGAGCATAAAAAGAGCTGGTATCTGCCTGCATATCGGGCCCCACTTGATCATGAGCTGTCTCATTCTCAGTGAAGTCACAAGGCTCAGCAGGCGCTAGATGTTTGTTGGAAAAAACCTCTTTTTTGAAAGATTCGAGATCGCGCTCCAATGATTCTTTCACGTAATATATTAGGCCGGCATACTTCTGGTCAAAAAATGAGAGCATCGGCTGCTTACCTATTCGATTCTCTAGTCGGGAAACATATCCAGCGCGGAGCCCTGGGGCCTGCTGGCTTAGCTGGTATTGGCAGGGATTGCCATGCTCGGAACAAAAGCCGCATTTAGGCTGTCTCCTATCGCACCTAATTTTCCGCTGTCGGCAAGCCGAGCAACTGCCATGATGATGCTTAGCTCTCCCTCCCCTCAGGTCGCAAAGGATTATAACGGAGCCTACACTGTTGCGCTAAGTGCCTGTGAACCTGAAAAAGGGGGCATTTCTTGACGAAGCTGTGACGCTGTAAGATGAAATTTGCATTCTTCAATCGCGGGGGAGGCAGTGGGAGGGGGCGAAGTCAATTGACCCCGCGATTATGTGATAGGGCACGCATTAACGTAATCCATACTCGAGCCGCGCAGGCATCCTACTATTCTTCAATCACCTGTAGCCGTTTTCGACGCTCATTTTACCGTGACTTAGTGTTGGGGTGTATTCTGAAACCTTGAAGCCATTTAAAATTGACTTAAGGGTATTATCCTTTTATTTCTGAACTATTGAAGCCTTCCAGAAGAAAAATCCCCATACAAATTGTCGAGAGATTGATGCTAAAAGCCTGAGTGCAGAAGCACCCCCGAAGCACCCATGCTTAAAGCTATTCATAATAGTACATTGGGGACGACGTGCGTTCAATTTGAATAAGACTTCCTTCCATACAAGGATAGAGTACAAGACTATATGGTATTGAGACGCAAAATAATTCAAAAGCCAATTGATTTTCAAAACCAAGAGAGTAGAATTAATAGAACCAGTATCGTGACCCTACCCAGGTAGGTACCCCTCAAGGGCAGTTCTGGAAATGGTCACTGACAATATAAGGGAAGAGTGGTTATATTTACAAAATTGGACTGGATTTCCAATGCCATTCCTGGTGGGCTGGTGGGTTAATCCGCCTGTCTTTCCGATCCTCGTGTTGATTTGCCCGTCAATGACTCCGGCTGAACGTGTGCAGGGGATGGGAGGCGAAGGGGGGGGGCGGAGGGTGGGCGGAGCCATTCTGCAAGGCGTCCTCGACGCAGCATTCTCCAACACCTCCTCCATCTCCAACCGTCCCATCTCCAAGTTCATCGCTTGCACCAAGAGCCCCAGCTCCGCCGAGCGTCTCCAGGCATACCTGTCGGCCGAACACAAACCCCACGTCAAGGTCGTCTCCGGCCAGACCGTGCAATCCATGCAAGAAGCCGATGTCGTCGTTCTCGGCTTCAAGCCCTTCATGGCAGTTGTTGTAGTGGACGTTTCGCTGTGTGAACAGAAGTAAGAATTTGTGTACTTCCTTGTTGATAACGCTTCGCGGGCGACTCGCTAGCCGGGTAGCTGCCCTATATAGCCCTAAGACCAGAGATAGCTAGATCTTAAGGCTAGTCTTAAGACCCTAAAGAGCCACTAATTTCTAGCAGCCTAAAGTTGTAAAAAGAATATCCAATCATATTATTCCTAAACGATTTATTCTAACTGTGGTTCTTAGGCTTAGATAGAATATATATCTATTTATTACCCTAATTCGCGTAGGGTTTAAGGGTATCAAAAGTCCTCTTTGTAAATAAATAACTATATTTTAGTTTTATATTATATATAGAGTAATACTATACGCGGACTATAATTCTATATTTTATAGTCTAATTTTAGATCTAACTAGCCTATTTTATATAACTATTTTTTTCTTAAGTAATTCTATAGCTTTCTCGATATTAAGATAGTGATATATTTAATAATTTATTAAGGATTAGTAGAGTAAGCTAATTTATATATTATAAAAATTATATCCTAGAAGTTATATTAATATAAGATTTTTAAGACCTAAGTCTATCTAAGATAAATCTCCTAAAATAGAATTTATCCCGTAAATAATACTAGTACAAAAAAGGTTTCTAGAGAAAGATTTTAGTCTAGGAGAAAATTCTTAAGAATATACTAGATAAATTTATCCTATACTTTTAGGTAATCTTAGTCGGTAATTAACCAGTGGTTTCTTTTTGTTAATAATAAATAGTCCTAATTTTCTGTAGTCGAGTTTATCGCTTAGTCGTTTTATTTTAATATTACGTCGTAGGAGATAGACCTTCTCCCCCTTTTTTAGGTTAGGGCTGATTTAGTAGCGCTGATTATAGTGTATCTTTATACATAGGTTAAGAAATTTAATGTCTTGTATTATTTATAATTAAAGTTATTTGATTCTTGTGCTATATTATATTTATTTTGTGGTTCTCCGATTAACTTAGGATTGTATCTATAGTTTGCGAAGAATAGCGTTTCTTTCGTGGTGGTATATATTATGTTATTATACGCATATTAAGCGATTAGTAATAGTCCTATTTAGTTATCTTATTAGTAGTTTATATAGTATCTTAGGTATTGCTCTAGTGTCTAGTTGACTCGTTTAGTTTATCTATTTATTTGTGGATAATACGCGGTAGAGAGTCTATGCTTAATACCTATTTAATCCGTAAATAATTACTATATATTAGACGTAAATAGCTTGTTATAGTCGGATATAATTTTGTTAGATATCCTATAGTTAGTGAAGACGTAGCGAAGTAGTATATTCGCTATACGATTCGCGTCGATATTTTCGGTAGTTGTAATTATATATATATATTTTATAAGTCGATCAACTATAACTATAATTATATTATATCCTTCTGATTTAGGTAGCTTTATAATAAAATCTATAGTTATCTATTCTTATAGTCGTGTTAGTATATTCGGGATATATATTTCCTTTTAAGAAAGTTATCTTAGTATCTTATCTCGTTAGTAAATATCGTAATTCCTAATATAGTTTCTTACTTTTCGGTATATATTCAGGAAATAGTAATTATAAAAGATCTATTCTATAGTTTTTTCGATTCCTAGGTATCTATATATAAATAAATCGTGATATTTTAGGATAATCTTATTCTGTAATAATTATAGAATATAAATTAGTCTATAAATAAAGACGAGCCTTTTATTACTTATAGTATTATATTAGTTAGTTACTAAGATTTTTTGTATAGATTTATCTTCGATAGTAGCTCTACGAATCTATTTAAGCTAATTATCGTTTTTTAGTTTGTTTATTATAGTAAGTATCTATCGATTATAGACTATTTCTCTCTATTTATTGTTATTAGGATAGTAAGTTCTATTTCTTTAGTTCCTAATTTATAGTTAGGTCGTTGGCTAAGTACGTCGGTAACTATATTTTTGGTTCTTTTATAGTATATAATTCTAAAGTTATACTACGAGAGAGTCTTAGCCTAGCTAGCTTATCGTTAGATAAGTTTTTTTATTATTATAAAGAATATTAAGTTATAATAGTCTATTCTAATTATTATAGTATATTTTGCTTCTTCTAGATATACTCTCTAGACTTAAAATACTAATATAATAGCTAGTAATTCCTTATCGTAGATATCGTAGTTAAGTTTTATTAGAATTATTTTTCTAGATTAGAACGTAACTAGTTATAGCGTATTTTCCTTATTAGATTAGAGTAGTTATACTCCTAATATATAATCCGATATGTTAGTTTCTAAAATATATAATTATTTATAGTTAAAGACTTTTATAATCCTATTTTTAGTATATAGGTTTTTAAGTTTCTAGAATATTTCTTCTATTATATTATCTTAATTAAATATTTCTTCTAGAGTTTCTTAGATCTCCGGGGTTCCTAGTATTTTAATAAGTATTTTTAGGGTATCTATTTCTTACTTCTAGAAATTACTTAATTTATTCTAGGAGTCAATAGTATTCTAAGGACTATATTAGATCTATTCTTAACTGTCGAGTTATTCTATCTTATTAATATCTTCCGTTAGCGAGTAATTAATTATTTCTAAATCGATCTTTAGGAATAATCTAGTAATAATATCTAACTACGGCGTTAGTAGTTTATTACTATCTATAATTACTAGTCCTATCTATTCTTACCTTTTTATTATATAGAGCTACTAGGTTTATTTCTCGGTTTTCCTAATACTAGTTATATTATAGGCTCTTTGGTTAAGCTATTTATTTATTATCTATATCTAATATAATCTATAGTTATATTTTTTATATTCTTTCGATTAGTATCTTAGTTTTTTATATTTAAAATATAGGTTATTCTTCTTATATTAATATTACTCCTTCTTTAGAAGCCTTATTATATCAAGTTCTATTAATTATAGACTATATAGATTATTAAAACGTGGCTATTATAGTTATTAAGGTTAGAATTATTAGTAAAATAGATAACTATTACTTTATCTCTATCTTTCTATCTTATATTTCTATATTTATCTATTATAAAATTAGTTATTAATATAAATTACGAGATTAATAAATATATCTATAGTATTAAAGTCTCTATATCTTATAATTTTATCTTTAATATAAGATTTTAATCTTTTATTATAATATAGAATTAGAGTATAGTTATCCTATTTAAGTATCATTATTTATTATATAAATTCGGCTATATAGACTAATATTAATCCTATCTATTAGAGTTATCTAAGTTTTTATTTAGCTATTTTCTTTATATTAATATTACTAAATATTTTTTTAAGATAGTTTTTAAAATTACTATAATCGTTAAAGATATTTTATATAATAGTTAACTATTCTAAGCTATTCTTTTTATAATACTCTAAGATATATAGTTTAAGCTAATCCTATATTTATCTCTATAGATAGGTTAATACGAAGATAACTTTACTTACTTTAGTTATTAATTAATACTTATTAATATCGAGGTATATATTTATTTATATAAAGAATCCTTATAATTTAAAATAAGTTTTTCTATTTTAGATAGTTATAGTATTATTAGTGATAGAGCTTAAAATTAATTATTAGTTTATTAAACTAAATTATAAAAATTCTTAATCTTATTATTATATTTTCGCTTAAATATAATAAATTAGCTAATAAAGATATTAATCTATCTCTTTAAATCCTTAATTCTTTTCTTATCTTTATCCTCTAATTCTAGATTAGATTAATATATCTAGGTTTTTAAAGATATAGATTTAGTTATCTTATTTTTATTATTACTACTATATAAAGATATAATAACTATTACTTTATAATTTCGACTAATAAAGTAATTAATATATTACGAACCGCTAATTAGTTATAGTAAGTATAGTCTTTAAAAGGTAATACTTCTCTTAGAATACTATAAGCCTTAAGTATAGTCTATAACTATACTAACGCTATATAGGGCCTTAGATAGACTTAGGTCTTTAGGGTACTTATAAAGTATAATAGTTAAGGCGCTGATTAAGTTAGTTACTTAAGGATTAGAGATCTCTAAATAAGCTCCTAAGATCGTTAAGGTATTTAGCTTTTATAATTAAATTATAAATCGGTACTTAAGTAATAATAGTATAATTAATTATAAAGAACTAAATATATTATAGTAAATAAATATCCTTATATATCCGTTGGTTATATACTATAGTGCTAGTTCTAGTATATAGTATATAGTATATTCTATAGTCTTTCCTATATACCGTCTTATATACTATATTACATAATTCTCGTGTTGCGGTTCCTTTCTCTTACGGGGTCGATTAGCGTTACTCCTTCTATCCATATCGCGCTAGTATCTAGCTACGATGAGGTCCGTAACAATACTATTTATATTATATCTTTTATATTCTAGAAAGAGTACTAAATATATTTTCTAGTAATTACTATCTTTATATAGAATATACTCTCTTTCTCTATAATAAATATAAGAGTTAAATAGCTCTTTAATATTACTTAGGATATCTATTATTATTATTAAAAAAGAATATTTGGTCCTACCTAGGAAACGAAAAAACCCCATTGTCCGTTATGAAAACTCTGGATCGCGAGATCTTCTATGGTCCAGTTCGCCGCTAGACAGATGGAGTGACATGGACCACATCGGAGCCGCCCCCCGTCGAAGACCGCCAGGAATCGATTACATCCGTATACCTCAGGGGATGGGACAGTGTGAATGCTGTGCAAATCAAGCATGGTGACAGTTAGGATGCTCTTGGGGGAGGTAGTTGGGGTGGCGCCCCTACACAACTCAACCTCGCGCCCGATGAATGGATCAAATGGGTTGAAATACGATCCGAATATAAGCTCGGCATGCTAAAATTCTGGACAAGCAAGGGTCGCTCAGTGGAAACTGGCAAGGCAATTAATGGCAACCTCTATACTTGGGGCTCAGACCCGGGCGACTAATTGACGAGCGTTAAAATCACCCACTGGGAACCACATGTACCACCTGGTTGTGAGAGCGTCATTCTGGGGTTCAGGCCTTTGCCAATGGACCCTCGTGAGGGAATCCGTCCGCTTTGACTGTTGCTACTGGATTTCTATCCCTGAACCGTCGCAGATATTGTCCCAAATTCATTCCTTGCTACGCGGCGAGGCTTTCCGGCTATCTTAACTGCTGTCTATCTTAGTTCCTGTGGGCGAGCCAATCCCAAATTTAGAACTGGTCTGACAAGCAGTGGCATATGTTGCTGTGCTAATTGGTGTGTCCACAGATGAAACTATACACCTCTTCGCTGCTGATTTACACAATTAACGGCATTGCAAGGCTTGCGACTGAGCTGAGTGTTGTATGAATTTTCAGAAAGGGCCAACAACGTTGACTAGTAACGAGTCGTTTCTGTCAATTCAATTTCTATTCTAGACCAGTTTAATTCAAATGCGAACCTATGTCCGCCCACTGATATGTAAAACTACAGTCATCTAGATCGTAATATTGCTATACAGGATAACATACAAATCAGATATACAAGGTCGCGTCTAAACAATGGACTTTCCAACGAGCAAAACAAGGCCAGCAGCCCACCATTTCAACTGAGAATTCGCCTCACTGATAGCAACCCCGCCACTCTTGGCTGGACAGCTTATGACAGGGGTAGCAGCAGTGCTTTGCCTCGCAGTGAGAGCAGACGAGATACTCGAAGCAGCCGCAGGCGCCACGCTAGCCTTGCAAGGAGCAGGAGTGGGCGGCGGACTCACGAGCACGGCGCATGTTTTGCCTTCCAGAGAACCCCCTGGAGCTTTCAGAGTCTTTGTGACATTGAAAGCAAGAGTCTGGGCATCATCATCACACTTGTCACCAATGCTCCGAGCAGTGAGATTGGACTGAGTGCCTCCCCTTTTCGTAGTGAAGTAGATGGACCTGCCGGTCCAAGACGGCCTCCAGGCAAAATCCCGCTCTTCGACCAGCCCGTGTTCGTCGTGGGAAGTAGTGCCATTGGCCGGTGTGGAGCAGTTCGTCCATCTCAGTTTCCAGACAAATTCCCGCTCGCTTTCGGTGTTCAGGGTATTGGACACACTATCAAGAAGAAATGACACAGATTCCTCAGGATCGGAGAGCTTCTGGACAGAAAGATGCACCTGATATTTATCCTGAGACGTATGGGAATTGATGCTCACGCGAGTAGTAGGAAATGAAATCCAATATCTACTAACCTGAGACTGAGTGTTAGAACACAAGATCGAAAAAGAAAAAAAAAAGAGAAAAGTCGATGGGGGTAATTGGGGGAACGGGTGTGTACGATGCGGGTCGATTCTCTGGTTCGCGAGACCCTTAGCGACCCTTGGACTACGGCATAGATGGGATGAGTGAGTCTTACGCGCTTGCACAGTAGTAGTCATATCAATTCAAAATTACTAGTTATTTTCAGATCATGATGTTTCCTGCGACAGGTCCTTGAGAGACAGCAAGAACAAGGAGGAAAGCAAAATAGGTATAAAGCAAAACACAAAGGTCCAGGGCACAGATGAAAATAATCCTGATGCTTCAAAAAGCCTCACACGTAGATAATTACCACGGTGGTCTCGTGCAGCGTGCAGCGTTAATCGTCGCTAGACGTATATAGACCGCCTGTCGAGCAAGCTGGCATCTTAATCCTTGTCAACGGGCTTCGGGGGCACATTCGTCAGATGGTGCAAAACAATCACTAGACTCCCATTAGTTTCACACCCAAGCCATCTTCTGATCAATGCAGACATAACTTACAGGCAAGAAGGATCAACATCAGTCCTGGCAGCGTCCACGGAGTCTCACTCATGTCGTTGATAGTACTCGTCAAAGTCATGGTGCTGAGTAGAGAAATGCCCAGCCCGACAAGGATGTTGGCGCCGATACTGATATACCGCACCGGGGAGGGACGTGGATGGTATCTCTGCGACAGTAGCGAGAGGACGCCGATGAGGAAGCAGACCAGGCCAGCGCAGATACTGAAGTATGCTAGAAGAAGAAATGATGGTCAGCACTGGCAGGATATACAGAGGGGCTGCAGCATCGAGAGAGGGAGAGAGGGGAAAGAGGAAAGACTTACTGAAAGTGAGGCTAAAGAATTCAGTCGCTCCATCTCCCCATTGCTTCATCTCCTCACCAAAATCAGCGTGGCCACTTTTCTGGGCGTCGGTTTCTGGCACCTCCCAGCCGAAGCCTTCAACGGCTGTCCGGACCAACTCGAGAAATGCAACTCCAGCATCCGTTTCTTTCTCCTCCTGCGTCATATTGGAAGCAGGGTGTGCCAATGCATGAATGTGTTCTTGGACCTGCTCCATTGCTTCCTGAGTAGGGGAAAATCTCGAGAAGATGAGATCGGATTTTTCTTTGAGCACCTGGGATAGCTGCTGCGGCGTGGCGTCAAATGAAAACCCTTGCAACAACTTGGTCAGGTCCCGCATGACGTGGCCGACCAACAGCATCTGATTCGTTCCCTCCATCATAAGAGCGAGGGCCAGGTGGAATGGAAAGTGAAGCATGGACCACATCTGCTGGCGGCGCGAACCAAACGGCTCAAAACGGGTGTTATCAAAGTAGAGTTGATAGATAAAGTACTAGATGTAATGTTAGCTGGGACCGTTTTCATGTCGAGGACTCGGGGCTCTTACAATTATGAGCACTGCTGATATGATAGTGCCAATGTCAGCAGAGGTAAACTTCAAGTCGTGTCTCTCAATGTTGACGATTGTCCTGGTGAGACCAATGATGCCCTCGCCGAGCTGCGACAGTCAGCTTTTTGCAATAAAAGAAATTATGGAATCAATGCGGAGGACAAAACATACAATAATGAGGGTCAGACAGCTTAACCGTTCTACAAGCTGCGTTTTCACAAACGACATGGGTCGCCATCGAGATGCCAGGAGCAGGTTCACGGCAACTTCGAGCACGGCAACCGTGTACCACGCAGAGTAGGCATGCCAGGCTGTGCGTCGGTAAAAGGCGAATGATACCCCAAGATAGATGGCCGCAGCAACGATGAGTGACAGAATTATAACCATCAAAGGGATGCGGGCCTCCCGATACCTCCAGGTGAAGAACAGAGTCGACGAGTATTGACAGAGTAGAACCAGCCGGTCTGCCATCAGAATCAGGGACAGCTGCTGCAATGGTCCCCACGCGTTATGGTTTGCCAGGAAGTCGGGTCCGACGATCGCGAAGCCGACCATAGCACCGAAATGGCACGCGTGGGCGACGCGTTCGAAAACACTGTCTGTCGCGAACCGAAGATCATAATAGGTAACCTGCGCCCAAGTAAACCACAGCATGCAAAAGAATCCGATGTAAGCGCCGAGTGCTGTGAGGGAGAGAAGTTAGCTACACCAAACATTCAGTACCAAGGATTAGCGGCACGCACTTTTTATGTCATTAATTTCATGGGCATTCGTGAACGAGGTCAAATTGGCCACGAAGAAGAGGTCGAAGAATAGCTGGATATTCGATGTTTCTTCATGGTGCTCGAATTCAGGATGTTGGAAGAGCGTCTCATCCTCGGTTTTGATATCGACGGTACTAGTGACTGAGTAACCTCGATCGGTTGACTTGCTCTGAAAAGTGTGTCAGCCCTTCTCATGTATGACGAACCAGTTTCCAGTATTGACTTTAGGGCTAGGTAAATAGGGAAATGCTTACCAACGGGCTTCGGATCAGAGGAAGTCTACCCATTTTGCTCTGCAAAATTTTGGTTTCCCTCGAGGTGAGTGAGATGTGAAAATCGCCCTGCGAATTTTTTTTTCTGTCTCTCAGATAGGGCTGTGAGAACCCAACTAAATATTAAGGACGTGCCTGGGGCCGCTCGGTGGATTCAGGAATCGTATACGGTCCGCTCTCAAATCTGCATTCTGCAGATCCCCGACAGCCCACGCCGCTTTGGCCCCCAAAGCTGGCTATAAACATGTCAAAGGATTTGGTTCGTTCGCTGTCAACCACCCAGAGAATCGTGGAACCCACACGTTAATTTCCTGGGGGTTGGATCGGCAGTGCCCAGGATCCCCATCTCATAGTAGCCTCGAGATAAAAATAAATAAATAAATAAACAGGAGAATTTGAGATCAATTAAAGCCGACAGAACTTCATTACCATATTCAAATCTGGATATGTCTATAATCAAGATACTTATTGCATCATTGTTTTATCCTATATTACTGCTGTTCATACTAACAATACCACTTGATCGTAAAACACCAAACGTACTAAGTGCTTTAATATTGCTTTTCATCATGCAGGTAGAGTATAACATATAACATCATTCATGATTCAGAATATGTATGACCACGTCATTCCACTCGAACGGCACGATGTATGCCAAACTCGACGATGCATCAACACTAGTCCGACTTGGGCAATCAAGATGCAGACGAGATATTTTTAGATTCTGTACTAGGAGAAAGAAGCATTTAGTCGCAGATCTGTACTTCCTATAAAACAAAGTAGCTTAGCGTAAGCCACGTGGAGCGAAACTACGCTCAAGCCTCAAACTAACTATGCACAATGTGGTAAGGTCTTAGGGTTAGTGCTGACCGCACTAGGACAGCTCTTTCACCGATCAACACTTGTTTTATGAGTGACGCACAGAAGGCTTGCTTGTTCTACTCGCCGTCAAGCATAACCCTCAACAATCCGGCCCCAGGGGGCTCTCGCGATGGGCACAAGATTTGCAAGAGGTTGATACAAGGGATAAACCCATGCCCTAGCTGGCCCGTACTGTCGGACCCACCCCTATTCGGCTGTTGATCGCCCCTACTTTCTGACCAATTCCCACCTTTTCACCAATTTCTCGCATCCCTCCAATTTCTACCTAATTCACCTATACCACCATAATCATACGCTTCTACGGAGCCGCCTGATTCAGCCATATTTGTTTCAAAGCTTGTCGCTGTCTCATACAAGTTTACAAATTTGTGTACTCGCTTGTAATCTAGCCGTCTCAAACTTGCAGCTGTTTCTCCTTTGCCCCGGCTTCGTCTTACCTATTATTCATGTTGTCACATTGTTCATCAACGCCTGCGAGAGCCCCTCTATCCTCCGGGGTCCCTGCCGTAACTCGTTAGCGCGGCTGCGATTCTGCGCACAACCCCTGCTACTCTCACTTCGCTGACATGAAGTCTCTTCGGCCGTTATTCCAGTCAGCCGATTAGCCACTTTATATATATATATTAAATGGCTGCCACGTAGTCACACTTCCCCATGTTTAGGTATCCACACATACTTCCGCTTTACTCTCCAGGATTTATTTAGTAGGGAATCCTCCTACGCACCGGATGTCTTACATCATTTCTTGGGTTTCATTTCCATTTATTCTGTTGATGTTACTCTGTTAAGGTTATCAAAGGTAGTGATAGGCTCTATGTTTAAATAAAGATCATTGCACTAGGCATCATCCTTTTTGTTTAACCATGCTGACTCAGAGAAGTATATAGAGCTTTACCGTTCTTTCGCGACTAGCCCGAGGTGATTGTAGGGGTATTGAATCATCTCGTGTCCAGCACCTATTAACCTTAAATCAACTTCACTGTGCCGCCACCCGGGCCAATTCAAGATTTGATTATGCAAGGGTATCTGCACCGCTATATTTGTCAAATTGAACATCGTTTGGTGTCGGACAAGCTGAGCAAAGTATGAATCTCGACCTGGGGTAATCAGTGGTATACTATCAGTTCGGCACTAGAAGGGTTAGCTGCTGCATCTCCATACCATCGTAACGATTCTTCTCTAGTATAGAAAGGATGCGTATTGTTAGATTTATTGATGATCAACGGGAATAAGACTTGGAGAGGGCGCGAATCAGTTGACTGGCAGTGGTAAGACAGGGAAATTGTTTAGAATAAATAAGCAAGAAGACCAAGATTCGCACAAGCGCCCCTGCTCCGATCCAAGGTCGAATCAGGCAATTGGATGATTTTGGGGGCTTCGCAGCGATCAAGCTTGAGCCAAGAGCAAACACAACTCTCGCCCAGCGGTCTGTGCTTTAGACATATTGCTGTAACCACACTCTGAATAATTCATATTTACTAACCTTAGTTAAGCGTATTTTGATCTGAGAAGATTCGATGTATGTCAAACTAACTTGGGACCTGCTACAAGAAATAGATGCCAAAATCCGATATTGAACTATCACCAAGAGCTCCTAGCACACTCGAGTCCGACAGCTCCTGCCTTTTACCGAAGAAATTACCCAACTTCACTTTTGTTCTCGTCAAGACTGAATGGTCCCAAAATCCCGAATCAACATTGCTCATAAATACGATACGCATCCGAATTGCTTCTATCAATCGAGCCAAAGCAACCGCATTGCGTCAAATATTTTTTGAAAGTAGGCCATGCATCCAGCTTTTCGTGTGCCTTCACTGGGTTGAGCTGTTTCTTTTTGGACTTCCAAATTTTCCAAAATTTCTTGCCTTCTTTTTCTTGTTTTTCTTCTTCAACAACGTCCGGGCGTATCATTGAAATACCACATTTCGCTTTGGCGTATCGATCCTATCAAGTCATGTGTATGAGTGCTGAGAGCTATTATGAGATATAAGGTGCTTCCATATCAACGTACCAGCGCGAACCAAGCATAGTTATCTGGATTGCGGGTGGGTTGAATCTTGCAGGTTGGGGTTTTATCCGCTTCGTTTGCCATGAGTGAGCAAAATTCAGGGTCGTAGACCTCTGGCGCAACCGCAAACCCCAGTCCATTCATCTTGCTAATCTTGCTTGACCGAATCCTGCAGCTATGAATTAGGGGAAGCAAGAGAAGGTATAGGTAGGCTGACTGACACGCTCGGAAATTCATTCAACACTTTGTTTCCAATGAATTCAAAATGCCTAGAAAAATAGTCAGCATGTAATCAAAGCAAAGGATTCGAGAGAAGAATATAAAGAAGACAGACACAGGGATTGGATAAAACAAGATACTCACCCAAGCTCATGTAACATGGTAAAAACCAGGGGCATGTCTTTTTTGGCAAACTTGCGGCTTTGGAACGCAGAGCAGTCCAGAAGATAGGGCCGGGCCTCAATATTTTTTCCACAGAATGCCATATAATAATCACCAGTTTTCCCTTGCGTGAAGTCTCCAGGGTCCATTTGCTTGGGCCGAGGGTTTAAATACGAGACACTCTTGCTATATGCAACGGTTTTATCTCCGCATTGATTGTCAGGGTCCCCAGCAACAATCCAGATTTTTGGAGAATTGTCTGCCTCGCAGCGTGGCGAAATTTTCTCTCGAATGACTTCGAGCATCTTTTCGACAACTTGACCCTCAATTTCAGAGAACCATGTCTTGAAAATATCGTCGCTGAAACCTGAGTTGCCAACCAAGTTGACTACTTCAACCAGCTGTTCCCAAAGGTGTTCGTAAAAGTTGAACCAATATGAGTCTTTCTCAAATCCGTAGTACCAGAAGGCCTCTCCTTGGAGAACTTTTTTAACTTTTAGATGCGGTGGTTTTCCATTAGGAGGGGGCTTGTCGCGTGTTCTCAGAGCGGCGATGGCATCTTTCTGTCTATAGAAGCCGTCAGATCAAGGTTCCTTATTTTAAAAAATGGATTCTGACTTACCCGAGGCGAGAAGATGCCACGCAGAAGAGAGACAGGGAGAGCGAGAGAACCGTTAAAGTCAACGGGAAACGCATGTTCAATCGGAGCTGTTAGTATCGGGGTAAAATAACCCGTGTCCTACCCGTGGCCAAATGAGATGAATTTATGTGAGCAGCATTCGCTCCCCTTAAATATGTCTACTCTAGTATGGAATTCGATCTCAAAGGATGCCTACTATTCCATTTGCAGTATCTCTCATGTTCATATTATGAGATTCGGTTTCAAAGGATCGTTTACAAACAAGGCAATGAAGCAACAGGGGGCTGACAGTAAGCAGCATCCTACGGCTTTAATTTGCTGTACTAACTAGGGCTTTCCTGCACCGATTCCTTTGACATAATTCTAACTGGCCCCTGTGCGAGGGTCCATAATGAATACTAGTAGTCAGCGTGCCCAGACCCCCAGCCTTAGCTGGCCGGTAAGGGCACCTAGCTAAGGGGGGCCCAAAATTTGACCTAGTTTTTGGCCCCCTTGTCGACCCAAAGAATGGGTATTGATAGGGGCACCTCAAGATTTTCGCTATTGACACCTCATTTTCTGACATAAGCAAAATCGCTGATATAATCAATTTTCATCACTATAGCAACTATATACTGCATATCTACTCAATATTCTGCTTCATCTCTTTTTCTCTCTTCTACTACTACCCTGCTAGTTCTTCGCTTTCTGCATACCCTATCTGCTTCGTCTGCTCTATCATGCATACCATGCAAACCAACCCCGCTATGCCTACCCTTAGCACCCCTACTGCCGCTACTCCCCCCGATATCTCTGCTGCCACCACTGGCAATTCGACTGTCGATTTGCCTACTAGACCCCTCGCCAATTCGCCTACTAATTCGCCTGCCGATTCGCATGCTGATTCGCCTGCTGCTGCCACTACCGATCTGCTGCCCCCACCACAACGAACCTTCCCTAATCGGGATGAATTGGTCGATTTTATGCGCCAATAGGGTATAGCGCAGGGGTATGCTACTACTATCAAGCGGTCCAATGCTGATAGGCAAGTCTATCTCCACTGCGATAGATCTGGGGTATATTCGGACCGAATACAAGCGCCTGTAGGCGCCAAAAGGCGCAAAACGAGTACTCGGCGGCAAAATTGTCCATTTTTGGTATATAGGAGTCGCTAGAGGAGTTCTGATTGGCTACTTTAGGTAAAGAACCCCGCGTATAATCATTCTGCTGATCAAGATATAATAGCGTACCTAATCGCACGTTAATTTACCCCAACGCAGAAAACCTTAATTCAACGACTCTCTGCTATTAGACCGAAGTATATTATTAGTGCGCTATATAGCGAGTCCCCTCGTCAACGAATCATACCACGCGATGTCTATAATATACGAGCAGAAATTCGACGAAAAGAGATAGGAGAACGTAGTATTCTTGAATATCTATAGATACTACTCGATTTAGAAGGTTATAAATATTTATTCAAGCAAGATAATATAGGGTATATCGAATTTTTTCTTTTCTCTCATCCTTAGTTAATTCAATTGGCCAATTTATATAATAAGGTATTTATCTTATCTATTTTTATATGATTTTATTAGCTAATATTTTAAGGTTTTTATTATGGATTGCATATATATATTACGAACCACTAACTGGTCACGGTGAGTAGGGTCCTTAAAGGGTAATACTTCTCTTGGAGTACTATAGGCCTTAAGTATGATCCGTAACCGTACTAACGCCACGTAGGGCCTTAAATAGACTCGGGTCTTTAGGGTACTTACAAGGTGTAATAGTTAGGGCGCCGATTAAGTTAGTTATTTAGGGATCCGAGATTATTAAGTAAGCTCCTAAGATCGTTAAGGTTTTTAGCTTTTATAGTCGAGACTGTGAATAATACTTAAGTAACAATAGTATAAAGATTGATTACATAGAACTAAGTATATACCGGAAATAAGTATTTTTATATCCTCCGCCTTCTTAGCCTAGTAGACTAGTAGATGGTATAGTGGTAGGTGAGACTTAGCGTCGTCTACCGTTTGATCGATATACCCCTCTACTACCTATATATAGTCACGTGATAATCTTAACTATCTTGTTTGGTGATCTATTATATCGCTCTGTGTGGGCCAGATCGATTGGTAGTTATAGGGTCTATAACACTATCTCCCCCTCTTCTCGGGTTTCGCCCTCGAACCCCTTATAACCTGTCCGTCCCTAGGTTGTGTCTTTTCTCTTTAGTATATCCTTCGTCTATAATACCTAAATAAAAGGCTAACGTAGTTATTGAGAGTATCCCTAAACTTCCGTCGTTATAGGATTAAGTCGCTGGTTATATTTATTAGTCGAATTATATTTCGGATAACAGTTTTATTACCTCTGTCTTATATTCTTATTGTGCTAGGTCTAGCGAAGATTGCGTAATAGACTATTCCCGAAGATACTTAAAATATATATTATATACTTATACCGGTTATTCCTATAAAAGGGAATTCTACACTAGCACGGAATAGGATCTACTATCTTGTGCTAAGTCGAAGTTGTTAATAGATATTAAAAGGAATAAATTAGAGTTAGATTTATTAGAGCCTAAGCTAAGCGAGTTATAAGGTTATCTCGCGGTGTTACACTAATAAGTATTAGATAAATAAAAGTAGTATTAGGCGACGATAAGTCGTTAACGTTATCTATAGAAATAAATAGCCTTCTTGAAGTAGAAGGGCTTTAAGATATTAGAGCATGATATAGAGTTATTAGCGATTCTAGATAAAAAATAAACGTCCCTAGAGTAGGCTATATCTTCTGCTCTTAATCTTTAGTAGTTAGCGGCTATTACTAAGAATCTGAATTTTGATTAGATATAGGATAAAATTATCTAGATCCCTTTAGTTTTTTAGGATAGCGCTAGTTCCGGCGCTTCCTCTACTATCACTACTAGAGCGTTCTCTTAGCCGTAAGGTAGTACTACTTAACTAACTAGTAACAGCCCCTTAAATACACGATAGGTTCCTATGTATTTTCCGAGGTAGGGTACCTTTTTTATTTTATAAGAAATTATTGTTAACTATTATATTAGTAGTTATCTATGATTGCTTCGATCTTGTACTTATTTTTAGTTTCTTCTTTAATTTCTATATTTATAGCGAGTTCGGCGTTCTTTAGTATAGGTTCGAGTAATAAGATATAAAATACTGAATAAATCCTTTTTATACTTTCCAATAGTTTTAGATAGTAGTTAACTAGTCCTATCTTTTCTTCGATCGTAAATAGTCCTAGTTTCTTATAGTCGAGCTTATCGCTTAGTCGTTTAGTTTTAATATTTCGTTATAGGAGGTAGACCTTCTCCCTCTTTTTTAAATTAGGGCTATCCCGATAACGCTAGTCGTAGTATATCTTTATATATAGATTTAGAAATTCGATATCCTAAGCTATTTACGTATAAAGCTATTTAACTCCGGTAGCTAGTAATTATGTTAATTTTGCTATATTATATTTATTCTATAGTTCTCCGATTAACTTAGGATTATATCCGTAGTTTACGAAAGATAGTGTTTCTTTTATAGTTACGTATATCGCGTTATTATACGCGAACTATACAATTAGCAATAATCCTACCTAATTATCCTATTAGTAGTTTATATAGTATCTTAGGTATTATTCTAATATCTAGTTAACTTGTTTAGTCTATCTATTTATTTATAGATAATATAAGGTAGAGAGTCTATATTTAATATCTATTTAGTCCGTAAATAACTACTATATATTAGATATAAATAATTTATCTTGGTCTAATATAATCTTGTCTGGTATTCTGTGATTTATAAAAATATAACGAAGTAGTATATTCGCTATACAATTTACGTCGATATTTTCTATAATTATAATTATATATATATATTTCGTAAGTCGATCGACTATAACTATAATTATATCGTATCCTTCTAATTTAGGTAGTTTTGTGATAAAGTCTATAGTTATTTATTCCTATAGTTATATTAGTATATTTAAGATTTATATTTCTTTTTAGGGAAGTTATCTCAGTATCTTGTCTCGTTAGTATATATTATAATTTCTGATATAGTTTCTTACTTTTTAGTATATATTCGGAAAGTAGTAATTACGAGAGATCTATTTTATAGTTTTTTCGATTCCTAGATATCTATACGTAGGTAAATCATAATATTTTAGAATGATTCCTTTCTATAGTAGTTATAGAACGTAGATTAGTCTATAGATAAGGATAAGTCCTTTATTACTTATAGTACTATATTAGTCTATTGCTAAGATTTTCTATATAGATTCGTCTTCGTTAATAGCTCTATAAATCTACTTAAGCTAATCGTTATCTTTAGGTTCGTTTATTGTAGAGAGTATCTATCGATTATATATAATTTCTCCTCGTTCGTTAGTTATTAGAATGGTAGGTTCTGCTTCTCTAGTTCCTAACTCGTAATCTAGTCGTTAGCTAAGTATATTGGTAACTACGTTTTTAGTTCTTTTGTAATATATAATTCTAAAATCGTACTACGAAAGAGTTTTAGCCTATCTAACTTATTATTAGGTAAGTTTCTTCGTTATTATAAAAAATATTAGGTTATAATAGTCTATTCTAACTATTATAGTATATTTTACTCCTTCTAGATATACTCTCTAGACTTAGAATACTAATATTATAGCTAAGAGTTCCTTATTATAGATATCGTAGTTAAGTTCCGCGGGAATTATTTTCCTAGATTAAAATATAACTAGTTATAGTGTATTTTCCTTATTAGATTAGAGTAGCTATACTCCTAATATATAGTCTAATATATTAGTTTCTAAAATATATAGTTATTTATAGTTAAAGACTTTTATAATCCTATCTTTAGTATATAGGTTCTTAAGTTTCTGGAATATTTCTTCTACTATATTATCCTATTTAAAGGTTTCTCTTTTTTTAGTAAATTAGTAGAGTCCGGCTATATATTTCGAGTATTATAGTATAAGCTTTCGGTAGTAATTATATAATCTAAGGAAGCTTTAGATATCTCTAGTGTTTTATAGTATAGGCTAATCGATAATAGCCTTAATTTTTTTTTCT